TTTTCTGGACCTTGACAGTGTAAGTTACTTGGCAGTCAATGGGACAGTCACAAGCCTCCCGGTTTTCATCCAAAATATCTTAAATTGTGTTCCGAAGACGAACTAAGCTTTTACGGGTTTGAAGCTTTTTAAGTGATTAATTACAAAATTTTCATTTTGGGGTGGAGTATCCCTTTAATATACTAAAATTAAAACTAAAATAAAGCTAACAAAAAAAAGTAAAACTAATAAACATGACAAAATTGAACTTAAATGAAAATTAGAACTGCTGCCATGGCAACTAAATAAAAAAATATGTTTAAGTACTAAAATGAATAAAACTAAAATGGAAATAAATATAAAAATTACAAAAGCAAGGTTGTTGAATATCAATCAGATTGAATAAATATAAAATATATAATGATAAATATAAAGCTAAATAGAAACAATAAAATACTAAAACTAAGGAAAATGACAAAAGCACATAGAATTACTGGAACTTACAGTAAAATTAAAATGAATGCTGAAAATGTAAAACAAATAAAAATAAATTCAAAATTAAAACTGAAACTGAAATAAATATAATGCAAAACAGAAATACAAAAAAACTAAAAAAACAAACAAATAAAAATGAAAACTGAAAATATAAAAAAGCCAATTTAAAATATGAATAAATACTATATAACAAAAATCGTATTGGATTCATTTGGATAGTGCATGTAGACATTTCTAGTCTTCTTCAAAGAGCCTTTAAATGAGCCGTGCTCGTTTTATTAAAGCTACAAGTTGATTTTATTAATTGTGCTAGTGAATTAGCTGATGAAAACCATAAAAACATCTTCAGACACACCCTCTCATAAGCCAGGAGGAAATGAACTGCTTAAATTAGACTCGAATCACCTTCTTAATTAAGTGATGAGCTCTGAGTCCCTCACCTCAGTGCACATGTCTTGAGATGATCTTGATTTGCGTGGATGTTCTCCACAGCAGAGCCTCGTTTGCTTTATGAATGTTTGATTGCAGAAGAATGGCTGAGCTTCTTCTGTGAGGATCCATCCATCAAGAATGCTTTCTTTAAAAAAAAAAAGTTTTTCATAGTGTGAAGAACATTTGAATAATCTAATAATTTAATAACGTGCAAAGAAAAGGTTACATGGGCGTTAAAGGCTCTTCACGGAACCATAGATGCCAGTAAAGAAGCCTTATTTTATTAACTTTATTTATTTATCCCTTGTTCTTGTGTTGAGAACTATCAGATATTTTAGATAAAATATTATCTTAATTTTTTATGCTTTAAACATCAAAACTATGAATTCCCCTGTTAATATTTTCTCAATTTTACTGCGGATGTCCTTCTCAAAGTTCAATTATTAAGCAAACATTTTTCTTTCATTTCAAAGGCGGCACACTTAAGGTGAATACAAAACAAAATCTCATGTAATATTTAGTTACGGTCTCCAGAGGTGGACGATCACATGAAGGTTACGCATCTACATTCACTGCATTTATATCGAACAGAAACAGTACTTTATTCAGGCCAAATGTCGTATGCTATTGGAGAACAGTGCCATTGCATGTAAATGTGGAGACAAAAGCTGAAGCATGTGGTGCTGTGACACACAAACACACACTCAGCTCTTGTTTTGAAGATCCAGTCAGATATGACAGTGAAAAAGAGAGGAGACCTGATGGAAATAGAGCAGAACGGATCCATCTCTCCTCCTCTGTGTCTCTGTTCGCTGAGTGTGTGTGTGAGTGAGTGTGTGTGTGTGTGTGTGTGTGTGTGTGTGTGTGTGTGTGTGTGTGTGTGTGTGTGAGTGTGTGTGTGTGTGTGAGTGTGTGTGTGTGTGTGAGTGTGTGTGTGCGTGTGTGAGTGTGTGAGTGTGTGTGTGTGTGTGTGTGTGTGTGAGTGTGTGTGTGTGTGTGTGTGTGTGTGTGTGTGTGTGTGTGTGTGAATGTGTGAGTTTCCCATGAGACTTTACCAACAAATCAGGTGCTGTTTAACTCCAGGTGTGTTTAATTTCCCTGTTGGACTAAAGTGTGTGTGGGTGAGTGTGTGTGTGTGAATGTGTGTGAATGTGTGAGTTTCCCATGAGACTTTACCAACAAATCAGGTGCTGTTTAACTCCAGGTGTGTTTAATTTCCCTGTTGGACTAAAGCTGCGGTTAAACTCGGCCTGAGCTCCATTTACTCCCAGTCATGTGCGCGCGGACAAGCAGAAACACAAACACACGCAGAGAATTTTCATCTTTTACTGTGTACACTGAAAAAATTTACTCAATTTTTTTAAGGTAAGTGGCTGCAATCAATTTATTTTAGCTACATTTAAATAAACAAATTTAGTTGACTAACTTTCAGCAAAATGTATTTATTTAAATGTAGCTAAAATAAATTGTTTGCAACGACTTACCTTAAAAAAATTGAGTAAATTCAATTAATCTTTTTTTTCTTTCAGTGTAATGCACAGAGTTTTTATAGTTAACTAAAACAAAAAATAAAACCATTAAAAAATGACTAAAATAATTACATGTAAAAATAACAAAAAATAACTCATTAAAATAAATGTACAAAATATCATTATAATTTAAAAAAAAAAATATATATATATATATATACATTAACTGAAATTTTAAAAGTCACCTTATTTTATTTAATCTAGTTGCAGAAGTAACATTCCTCATTCATTTAGTTTCATTTTGAGTACTAAAATGTGACCCTGGACCACAAAACCTGAAATTGAGATACTGTAAGATACTATATTTGGCTGAGATACAACTATTTGAAAATCTGAAATCGGAGGGTGCAAAAAAAATCGAAATATTGAGAAAATCATCTTTAAAGTTGTCCAAATGAAGTTCTTAGCAATGCATATTACTAATCAAACATTAATTTTTGATATATTTACGGTAGGAAATTTACAAAATATCTTTATGGAATTAATCATGGAATTTACTTAATATCCTAATGATTTTTGGCATAAAAGAAAGAATGATAATTTTGACCCATACAATGTATTTTTGGCTATTGCTACAAATATCCCCCAGCGACTTAACACTGCTTTTGTGCTGCAGGCTCACAAATAAATAAAATGAAATAAAATAAAACTAATAAAAAAATTATATAGACATAAAAAATAAAAAATAAAACGAACTAAAATGACAAAAACACAACAAAATTACTATAAAGCTAACATCAAAGTGAAAACAGAAAATATAAAAATAAAATTAATTTCAAATACTAACAAAAACTACAAAAGTATATCAATGAAACACTGGTAGCGAAGTCTGGTGAACGCTGACCTTTGAATTCGTAGAGTAAAAAGGATCTAAACGTCACAGATTGAGTCGTGTCTCAGTAAAAAGATCAAAACAAAACTTCAAAATGGACTGAAGTGCTGCGATTAAGCGGGACACAGTCTAGAATAACCTAATGCAGGGATGAATTTAACTATGAAGGGCCACAAATCAAACATGATTTAGGGCCGCGGGCTGAAAATAAAACTGCTTTACGTATATCAAACTATATTATATTAAAATGCACATTTAAAAAAAAAACAATTTCATTTATATTCTCTATATCAATGCAACTCCAGCAGATCTTCATTCATCCGGAGCCACAGAGCCACGTTGTGTTCTGAGGAAGAAGGTAATCAGATGCTCATCAAAAATTAATGCGGTAAAACGGCATAATGGGGTCTGATATGAAATCTGCAATTACCTCTTATGCTCATATTACAGCAAACAACTGACACACACAGAAACTACATTAGAGAGCTGGTCTCATAGACTTCCATTGTTTTTCTGTCTCCAAACCCTGAACCAACTCTCTCAGAAACCTGTGCACGTCATGTGATTTACATTCAATCATGTGGACCATGCTCAAGAAACATTTCTGATTATTATCATTGTTGAAAATAGTTTTTTTCTGCTTAATATTTTGTGGAAACCAGGATACAGTATAGTTCCATTCAAAAGTTTGGAGTACGTAAGATAAAAAAAAATGATTAATTATTACTTTTATTCAGTAAGGATGCATTAAAGTGATCAAAAGTGGCAGTAAATACATTTATAATGTTACAAAAGATTTCTATTTTAATTAAATGCTGTTCCTTTGAGCTTTCTATTTATCTGTGAATCCTAAAAAAAATTAATGCATCACAGATTCCACAAAAATATTGGGCAGCACAACTGTTTTCAACATTGATAATAATCAGAAATGTTTCTTGAGCAGCAAATCAGCATATTAGAATGATTTCTGAAGATCATGTGACACTGAAGACTGGAGTAATGATGCTGAAAATACAGCTGCGCATCACAGAAATAAATTACAGTTTAACAGCTATTCACATAGAAAACAGTTATTCTAAATTGTAATAATATTTCACAATTTTTACTGTACTTACTGTATTTTTGGTCGAATAAATGCAACCTTGGTGAGCAGAAGAAACAGAGAGTGAGCAGAATTATTTTAAACTTTTATTCATTAGTGTATATAGAATGTTTCAGAACATATTAAGATATAATGAAATCTAATTAATTTGAAATAAAAAATATAAATCCCTTCTATTAAATAAAGTCATATTTTAAAAAAGTTAAAAAGTGATTTTAATTCAACATTTCACTTTTAGTGAGAACATTTGGCTCTCAGGTAAAGACAGACCTATCGTTCTTGCTGTGTTTGTGTTTTGGAAGCAGCATCTTTATTCTGAAAGCACTTCTGTTGATCTGAGGATGATGATGATGATGATGATGATGATGATGATGATGATGAAGAAACACAGTCCCATTTAAACTGCTTCACTCCTGTAGATGAAGTTGAACTGCTTTCATACCTGAAACTAAAATAAATCCCAATATAAACTCCAAACAAACCAAATGCTCTAATTATAGCAAATAAAAGCCTCCGTCTCCTCATTAAAGGCCTCTTCCTCATTTTTTTCTCAGTTGTGGATCATTCTCATCCCTCGGTTTCACTCGTGTCCATCTCCGCTGCTCCAGATGGTGAATTACATGATGGAGAGGCAAGTGAACAGCCTTGTGGGAAACGGTGCAGACATGCTGTCCAATGTGTGCCATCCCTCCATCACTCCTAATAAACCGCGGTGCCGGGGGTTCTGGGTAATTGAGCTACTCACAACACTGAGGGCCGTGTCAGACAAACACACAAATCAAGAGTGATGGGGTCCTGACACACCACAGGCCTTTAAATACACACACACACACACAGACACACTCACTCACTCACTCACTCACTCACACACACACAGTCCCATTTAAACTGCTTCACTCCTGTAGATGAAGTTGAACTGCTTTCATACCTGAAACTAAAATAAATCCCAATATAAACTCCAAACAAACCAAATGCTCTAATTATAGCAAATAAAAGCCTCCGTCTCCTCATTAAAGGCCTCTTCCTCATTTTTTTCTCAGTTGTGGATCATTCTCATCCCTCGGTTTCACTCGTGTCCATCTCCGCTGCTCCAGATGGTGAATTACATGATGGAGAGGCAAGTGAACAGCCTTGTGGGAAACGGTGCAGACATGCTGTCCAATGTGTGCCATCCCTCCATCACTCCTAATAAACCGCGGTGCCGGGGGTTCTGGGTAATTGAGCTACTCACAACACTGAGGGCCGTGTCAGACAAACACACAAATCAAGGAGCTGGAGTGTGTGATGCAGCATTTGGCGAGTCGTTCTGCACAGATGTGAGTTTGTTTATGGAGCAGAAAAACCTTTTTCCCTGAATAAACGCTCGGATTCAGACTCCCAGCATTCACAATCCTCACACACACACATCTGTCGTGAACCATAAACACAACACACTCATATTCACCTGAGATGAGCAATGGACAAATATTCAAGCTTGAACAAAAAAAACAGAACACAGTGAAGGTGCAAATGTAAAGCAAACAGTCCCATCTAAACAGCTTTAAACATTACCCATAATTCCTGACATGAACAGAAAGATACAGCTGCAGGAGC